AAACAGGATTTTTGTTTTAAAATAATTTTAACTTATTTAAAGGTAAGCAACCAACGGCAGGGTGGCTGTTGTATTGAACATTGTAGCTTAGAGATTATGTTGGTACTAAGTGCTGTTGATATTTAATGTTAGCTAATTTAGCTAGTTTAAAAAGTCAAAGTTGTAGGTGACCATAGAAAGAAAGGATTTCTACCAGGAAGATACTCTGTTCAAGTCTGGAATTTGAAGACCCCAAATTATTCTGTGTTTAGAATGAATATGAGATGTTTAGTTTGGCCATGATTCTAGACTTAACTGAGAGTATGCTCTTTGAAGCCAGTATCATGATGAGTAGAAAGATTTCATAGGATTCAAAAGTAGGAAGAAAAGAGCTCTGATAACTGCAATTTCCCCCCAGTTGTTCTGATAATATTCTTGAAAGATCTCACAGAGAACAAAATAATTCGGGTATTTCTGGAGCCCATATTCATATAGAGTAGAATATCAATCTGTCTAAAAATTGCTTTTGGTGGACTACCCAACCCTAACTTCTTGAGGTTAGATTATTTCCTGGTGCTTTAGCTAAATTCTTTCCACAACCACATAGCTGGTTCTGAATTTTAAAATTTCCTAGTGAAAATGCATTGGAATATGTCACCTAAATTAATATTTTATTCCCCATATAGGCTGTCAGTTTGGCTACAAGAATCAATTCATCTCTTAATCTGCTGTTATCTTGATGAGAAAATATATCAGAATTATGAATTTATGGTACTACTTAGCACTCAGCAACATAAGAGCTCCTGCATTAATTAACCTGATAATTGAGATTCTTGAATGAGGTCTTTACATAGTTCTTTCCTTAAGATACCTCATAAGTACAGAAGTTAAGGGTTGCTATGGGAAATGCAAAATGCATTGATCATTTTAATAGACTGCAAACAAATTTTCTTATTCCTGAAATTCCCTTGGTCCAGTGACTTTTGTTTGAAAGTTCATCTGCAAGTTCATATATTTTGTTTTTTGATGAAAAATTGTTATATGGATATATTTAACCTGCTTAAAGCTAATAGCTGCCATTGTTACTACTGTTATTTGTTACCTTTTGCTTATATCGCTTCTTCCAAAGCACAGTTTTGGTTAGTTTGTGCTCATATATTAGTCTAGTTCGGGGCCTGACAGATAGTGGATAATAATCAGTGAAACCTTACACAATTCATTTAACTGCTTGGCACCAGTTTCATTAGCTGTAATGAATATGCTGCAGACGATGCCTTAGGAAAGTGATTCTGAAATTGGGGGTGAGGTGACACAGAGAAGGATGACTTTCAAATGACATCCCCCTCCTTTTATATGATACATATTGTTGAAAGTTGTGTATTATGCATGGGTTGAAAGTAGAGGAAAGTCAGAATTCTCTTTGAATCTCTCATTGCTTTAAGGATTTGTGATTTCATGTTCAGAATCTTTTCATACTGTTCCATCTCAACAAAACCAAACAGCTCATTTTTACAGTACTGAGTACACTTTGATACTGTCAGTTGTTGAAGGGTTGTAAAAGCCCTTAAAAATGTTGAAATTGAGATGTCAGTAATCATGATTTATATTTATTGATGCATGTTTTCCTCATTTTTATTAAAAAAGTAATTTTGCCTTTACACTAAATGAAAGAGAAGCTGTTCTGACTAACCCAGAGAAATACAAAGGGCAGTATTATTTTTAACTTTCATTCTGATGCCATAGCTCTTTAAGACATTAACTCGTATAACTCTGTGTATATCTTTATATCTTTCATGTCATTAGTTATTTCACTAATAAAGACAATTTAGATTTTGGAAAGTAAACCTTGTGACTTGCTTAATTTTTTTTAATCCTACTTACTTTATTCTAATCCAAAAAAAATGTTTTAAGCCATCTATTTTCTCCATTCCTGACTGCTATTATCTTGACTATAATTGCCTAGTTTCCTTTCTGGCTGATCTATTGCTAGTTTTTATGTGGATGTTATTAAAGAATATAAATGCTCCATAGAGCACCATAGCTGCAGCCAGAATATTTTTAGATTTTCAACTAAAATGAAAACAGAACTGTTGCTTTGGCTGCTAAGTAAGTAGTTGTTGTCAGAGTGTGTGAGGGACTCTAAATTCATTATGTTAGCTGTTCCTGCGAGGTAACCTTTGAAAAATAGCTTCAACTGTTTATGGATTGTGGTCCTTGGGCACCAGATAGTGGATGCTGGAATGTATTGCAGAAAAGCTGATTAAAGTACTAGGATCTCTAACAGTAAGAGTAGAAAGTCATTTGTAATACATGTGTCTGATTCTGTTGGTTGCGCTTAGACATTTCCTTTTGAATGCTTTGGTTTATTATCTGTTTTTCCAGGAAGGAATAACATTTTTGCAAAAATGTGCCTTTTGGTGAAAACACTAAATAAGTTATGCTTGATGAGAAGTTTATGTACGGGGGGACTGATTTGAACCTTGAAGATACCAAATCCTTTGCAGTTTTATTGCGTAGCTTATTGGAGTCGTGTTTCATTGTGACTTAAATTTCAATAGTAGCTATTTCAGTTCACAATTTTAATGTGTCTTTACTATATATCAGAGAATTGATATTTACTCTAAAATATAAACTGTGTCAGAATTTAGTTTTCTTCTCTTCCTCCCTCCCTCCCTCTCTCTCTCTCTCTCTCTCTACCTTTCTCTCCAATAAAGTAGTAGAATATGAAAATATTTTATGTCATCCTCAAAATTTAAATATACTTTGCATTCCCCTTGTTAAAATATCTCAATAATTTCTCATTGCTTTCAAAATAAGGTTCAAACTTCCTAACTTAGAGAGCCACTTGTGATCTTTTCACTTCTTTGCTTCATCCTGCAAGTGTCCTCTGCTTCAGATATACAGAGCTACCACTTTTATGTCTCTCTCTCTCTTTTTTTTTTAAACTGTGATTGCTTCCTTCTCCCCACCCTCCTTCACCTTTGGATCATTTGTTCTTCCTTCAAAACTCGGCTCAAGTTTTCCTCTTCCAGGAAGGCTTCCTTGAACCACAATTGCCTTGCCTCTTATTAAACCCAGTTAGACTCAACAGTTAGCTCTTTATAGCATTTCTTAAGATTTTTCATACTCTTCTGTGATCATTGTTTATTTTTCTCTCCTTTAATAAAATAATTTTCCTTCAGGCAGAGATAATCATGTCTTTTGGTTTGGAATCTGGCATATAGACCTTTTGAATAAATGTTTGGTGACTGAATGACTTTTATAGATACATTATAAAATTTGATTTACTTTGCTCTTGGTTCTTTGGTCATTTGAGGGTCTGGGTTATGCCATTTTTTCTCACAAGGAGCTTTTTAAATGATCTCTCTAGCGTCCACATTGATACCTAAAATGTTTAATAAAGGTAGGACTTGAGAGCTTTGTGAAGGCAGAAGTCTAATTGGATAGATAATATAGTAATATAACTTTCACTCCATCAGTTAGCTAAAGAATCTGAAATATGATTTATGAGAAATTGGAGAGACCAACTCTATGATCATGAAATTGTGCATTCTAGCTTCTATTATTGAACCTATGATATTATCCGTATACAAAATTTCCTTAGGAGAAAATAGATATTTAATAATTTTTTCGTGTTTGAAAATATCTGGTTATAGTTTCTAGATTTTAGCCTAATCTTAATCCAAGAGACAAGACAAATTTAAAGCTAGAGAATATTTGCTAATGATGTGTTATAGAAATTAAATATGTGCTTGGTGGCCTTGAGGTGTTTATATAGTATTTGCATCAATATTTTACATTCTGTAGCAAAATATAGACAAAATGTGAAGAAATTCATATGTATACATAATATTTTTTTAAAATAAGGTTTTTCATAATAGATTTATAAAATGTTTATTTAAAATTTTATTTCTTACGTGTATGCTTAATATTTGCTATCATCTAATTATTTACTTGGACACTTTGTGTAATTATTTCTTTAATGATATAGCAAACTGAGTCAGTGTATTACAGCTGAATCATAGTCCTGGCTGTTCTTTTTATTTATTGAAGGAGCAAACACTGTATTATTAACATTCCTTGTCCTTCATTTGTGCTTGCAAAAGAAACTTGTTTGTTAGATCTTGAGTACCCTAATAAATTTGTAATGGGAGATATTTAATTATATTTCTGTTTTCAGTCTGTGATATATTTTAAAAATCCATTGTGAACAAACAGAATTGGTAAAAATTACCCACATCGCAATAATTGAATATCTGCTCATTCTGAGAGATTACAGCCTCCTTTTTAAAAAATATTTTTAAGATTTCTTGTTTGTTAAAATTTGGGATTGAATTTGTATAAAGTATAAAGATATAGCATGTTAGAATATTATTGCCATTTAAGAATGTGTTCACTGTTTTGGTTTTTGGAGCGCTGCCTCCAAGAGGTTCATGGCATTTGGTACGTAGTTCACGTATTTCTAGTCTACAGACCTTCCCTATGGAGGCAAAGGCTTCATGGTTCTGATATTTGCATTTTCTACTGCTCGAAAGCTCAACAATGGTAATTAATTATTTTTTAACTTTCCTTGTCATTACAAATAAAACTTCAGTTTTTTGAAGACTTGTAATTTGTACCTTTAAAGAGCCACATTTTGCTTTTGTCTCAGAATGTATTATGCTTCACAAGTATACTGTGACAGTCTGAATAGAAAAGGGGGGAGGGGACATTGTCTTCAGCTGGCATGCTGTTATCAGAGGGAATGTGTTTCTGGACACGAGATTTAGCATTCATTGGTTGTCTGAAGAAAGCTATTTCATCTGAGGATTGGACAAGAAGCTGCGTCAATTTGCTGCCCGTCTCCAAGGCACTGGTGATGCTGCCTTCACAAGCTGGCTAACGTCACGGCTCCATCACCCAGCGGGGTGTGGACTCTCTTTTTCTGTTCTTCTCTATTTAATTCTCTATTTGCTGCCTACTGCATTTCTTAATCTGTCTTCTGCCAAATGCTAACAGCATGATATTTTGCAATCATCTAGGTGAATACAAGAAAGACGAACTCCTAGAAGCTGCTAGGTAAGTGATTCCATTCATTTTAAGTGAGCATAATGCATTAAGGGAGAAAAGGGGAGGGCAGGTGGAGCACTATAAAAATTATAACATGTTATTGTCTTGCTTAGATTTTATGCAGTAATGCAAATAAGACCTTATACTCAATCTTTGTATACTTTGTTTTACATGGTTAGTGTATATAGTGATAAAATCTTTCAAGATGGTCATGAATATAAGGTTAATTACATTTGGAACATTTCTTAAGGTACCTGCAAATCGTAGTTGTCCAGGTTTCCAAATGATATTCTTGGAGTATTTAAATGCCTGTATTTTCATTTTCTTTTAAAGGTTTTTCTAGCAATTCTTGAATGAGGGGCATAAAGTAAATGTTAAAATCTTCTTTTTTTTTTTTTTTGTTCTTGGTCATTTATAATTTAATTGATTCACTCTTTACAGTATTTTTAATGTATTTTCAATTCCAGTGCTTTAGATAATTTATCAGAATAAAGTTTGTAATCAATAAGATGACTTTATGCAGATAAATAAAACAAATAAAAATGTAGAAAACTACATTATCCAAGATATACCACTATATAATTATTAAGAGTAATTAATTAGAAGTATATTAATTGAGTATCACAAGAGAGATTTACTGTGATCTATATTAAAGAAATCAAAGCAAACTCTTATTTTTTCACTCTTGTGTAAAAAAATTATCCATGATTATTCATAAGAAGCTCTATAATTTTATAGGAATTGACTTACTACCTTTTTGTAGGAGTGGTAATGAAGAAAAACTAATGGCTTTACTGACTCCTCTAAATGTGAATTGCCATGCAAGTGATGGGCGAAAGGTAAGTTATTTAAAGTGTAATCCTCTTTAATTGCTTTGCAATGACATTTTTTGAAGGTGGCATATATATATAGCCACTTGTATATACATACACTGGCTATATTTTTACTGGCATCTTTGCAATGTAAAATGAAATGCTGCTATATCTGTTATTGGCAGTTGTGACATATTCATAGAGCTGGTGAAGCATGGATTTTCAGTAAGCCTTTTCTCTTAAATGTCAGACACCGAAAGTTGTTTGATATATAGAACTGCAGCTTTGTCAGTGATTAAAATTACAACATATGTTATTTTCTGTGTATGATAATGGGGATTGGAAATATTCATTTACATTTGATTTATTTATCTTTGTTAGAATATTTGCATTTTTAATTTCATATTTGGCAGAAAACTATTTGGTTGCTAGATACAAACACTTTTTCCATTAAAGCTGAGAAAATGTTCATGATTTTTATTAGATCTATGTAACGGTTCTGCTTTTTTGCTTATTATTATTTTTTATTGACTAAGTTTTCACAGTGTTATATTGAAAGAAAATAGATTAAAACAAATATTCTTCATTGATAAACAGTTGTCATAAGTGTAAGGTACTATATACAATATACAGCTGGCAGCTTTATGCTGAATCTATATAGACTGAAATATTATCCTTTACAGCCTTTGGTAATTTTAAAGTTTTGCAGTGATTTACCTAATAGACAAGGAAAACCAAAGTACTCTACTGTAAAGTTTTTTTAATGACTGTTAATTTGTAATGTGAAAGAGTGCCTTTTATATTTTAAAACCTAAAATATTTTTAAAGACACTGCAAATATTGAGGAAAATTATTATATGTCTAATGCTTAAAGAATCAGTTTCTTTGAAATTATTTACAATGAAAATATTATGGCAGATATCAGGATGAATGGTAATCCTTTGGAAATAATAAGCTATTTTGCATTTTTAAAAATTACTTTTTTGTGAGTGATAATTTTATAGATGAAAATTGCTGTTTTTCTTGAATGCCTTGTCACTTTTCCTTATCTTAATGAAATCCAAAAGTAGTGGCAAGGAATTGAATCCCTCAAAGTATAATATATGTTACTTGTTATTGTAGATGGCTTATATATTATGTCGCATGGCCAAAGAGTGTTTGGTTTCTCTGGGTAATTTGGGGAGAGACTTCTACTCTCCTGGAAGGTTAAATTACATGTATGATGCTATAAACTAGCAAAGATGTATTCCTCACTATTACTTACTCTTAGGAAATGTTTTTAAATGGTAACTGCTCATTTTTCCTTCAGTTTTGAAGTTGCTTTAGGTTTAACATTCGTGTGTGTATTCTGAGCTCCAGATTGTATTTAAATCCTCTCAGTAGATAAAGTGACTTCTATCACTGCAAAAAGGGCTCTCTTATCTGTGGTTAAATGCAGCTATGTTTTTTAAACAGAGCTCATTTAGAGCCCGGCCTACTTCAGTTTTGCATAGCCGTTTTAATACTACAGAATTTGTGTGAAATTACTATAGCAGGAGTCAATTTCTATCCTAGCCTCATTCTGTCTTCCTTACCCTTCTACCTTGACAGCCGCGTTTCTAGTGCGGTAAATCATAATAATTAAGGCGTGTGATCACTGATACTTATCAAATGTCTTGTCTCTGCTTCATCTGCTACACAAATTTATAGAATTCCTTTATTTTTCCTTATCCTCAAAGGAGAATGCAGGATACACTTCTTTTCAGCTGAAAATAGTGTGTTCCTCATCCAAATTCCTACGGCTTTTTTTCTGTATTACTCCATGGCATTTATCACAGAGTTATTGTAATTATTCATAAATGTCTTTTTCTTCTACTTCTCTATTAGCTTTTTGTATTTTGAACAGGACCAAGCCTGGCACTTTGCATTTAGCAGAAGCTTAGGATATGACTCTGTTGTTCCCTGATAAGCATAATTTTATCCTCTGAGTGAGAAAACCATCTGTACTTCATACCATTTAGAAATTTAAATCCAAAGTATATGAATGGGAGATTTTATGTTTTTTTGTTATTATTATTATTACTAATATTCTATTAGTTTATTTGGGGGTAATTATAACACGAGAGAGAACTATATGTTTTAATGTATAGAACATTTTTAAGAACATACCTCAAGTATTATTATTAGACTGAAGGATTCCTAACATATAAGTAATGAAATAATTTTCCAGAATGTGCTCTTATAGTTTTTAGATTACCACTTTTTTCAAGTTAAATCGTTAGACAGGAAAAAAAAATTACACTTAAGCATTACACTTAGTTTTTAGTGCTCTGCGTATAATATAGGAAATCACTCACAATTGTTCATCTGTATGCAAAATGCAAATAAAACTTACAATTTAAATTGAAAAATGCCTGTATTTAGATATTCTTGTTTATGGCACAGAGTAATTATTATTAAATGTACCAGTTACAGTACAGCCAAAAAGTGTAAATGCTCTGGATGCTGGTGGAGATTGGAACAAGATCTCCTAGTTATGGTGGCATTTTTTGTTTTCTTCCTGCTAGTATCAAGAAAATGGATAAGCAAATCTAGATGTTAAATTACAAGACTCTATCTTTTTTCAGCACATTTGCATGTGTTTATTTAGAATAGGAAATCTGATTGTATATTAATAAGTGGACAAATGTACTTTTTCATTTTAGTAAGTCAGACATATAAAGCTTTATTTCTTGAATTTCATTTTAGAACAGTAGAGAATGAAATCCTTTTTTAGAGGTTTTCTAAATAACAGTATTATTGATATATTATTATTATTGCTTAACTGAGACCTTTCATGTCTTAGCTTTTACTACAATTCCTGGTTTGTGAATTTTAAAAGTCCGTGGAAATGTTAAATTTGTAATATGTTTGGGAAAAAAATGTTCTTTACAGTGCTTAATAGGTGGATAATTTGCTTAGAGCTATGTGGGGATTTGAGACTTTGGTATTCTTTTTAATGTAATATGTGGGATTGTGCAATGAGAGTGTAAATTATAAGTAGCGTCTTATTTTTATACCGTGGCTTGATTATTATCTATAGATAATATGTAAGTAGTTAATACTTTTATTTACTACAGACTTTTGCTTTACTAACCTGTAGAATTCTGAAAATATTAAAGTATCAGTAAGATTTTATACAATTTATATTGTTATATAATGCTTTTACTTTTACATGTAAGTCAAAATTGGAGCTTGGCCTCTCTAGAAATTTTATTGGTTTTTTCTTTCTTAAAATTGAAGGGCAGAATATTTTTTTGTTCTACAATAATACCTTTTTTTGTTGTTCTAAAAATGCTACTTTTATACAATTATATACATGCTCTAATGATGGCCACTTTAGAAACATAGAGACATAGATATAATTTACTCTCCCCTCTTCTGCCTATTATGATTAGCCATGACATTCCAGAATTCCTCATTGCAGTTAAGTGCAACCAGAACCTTAACAAAGATTGTTCCCTTTCTAGAAGTCTTTATTCCTATATTTTCAAACGTTGATATCTTGATCTCTAATTTCCTTTATAGTGTTTTATGTCAATAGCAGATGTTTTATTAGCAGTTATCCTGATGCTTTGGCCTTGTTAGATATCTAAATTTAAGGTGGAAATATTCTCTTGTTTTTCAGTACTAATCTTCATAAAGATAACTTTTTGTAATGAAAATAAATATTTGAATACATCTCAAATTATTCCATCAGTCAACCCTCTTGAGAGTTCCTTTAGGTCCTTCTTTGTTTTATTCTACTTTTCTAGCTATCTTTATCATCTTCCAAAACAAATGTCCTAAATGTGTTCGTCCCTCGTCATAACAAGCAATAGGTGGGGTTTAGGAATGCAGTACATACTCCTAAATAGAAGTAATAAGTATCTTTGCATACATCTACTGTGCATACTATAGCTATGATTATATGCCACCAAATAATAGAAAGTAATTAGTATTTGATGGGTGTAATTTCAGATATTTCAGGGTTTTTTTCCCTGTTCCTTGCGTTCATTCATTCAACCAACACCTAATACTTACCGTGTATAATACTTAACTGTGCTAAATGTCATGGGAGCATGGTTACTGGTACTGGTTCACAAGGACCTCAAACATGGATTGAATGATTAAGACATTATCCAAGACATTGAAGCTAATGCACTAAAAAGATACAGTATTCGTTTTGCTGTGATCCAGTTATAAAATGCAGGTTTAACGTGAGATTTTTTTATTTGGGCCCCCTTTTTTTTTAAAAAAAAGCATTAGTATTTATATATGTATACCCTTCTGTAAGAAATCACAAATTTAGATGAACAGGCAATTGGAGGAGCATGATTTTAATTCAGAAAAATTAACTGAAGGGTTTCTTTAAATGTCAGGTGTCTGCTGTGTAAATATTTGCTTCCAAATAATTAATAACATATAAGATTCTGGAAAGAGAGAAAAGTAAAGTGTTTAAAAATTATTTTCAAATGGAGATCAATCAGAAATAAAGTAGAATTTAGTACCATACCTTGATGACAGCGTGAGGAAACTAATTTACTTGAAAGAACAAATAGACTGTAAGGTCAGATAAATTGGGTGGGTTTCTTTCTTGGTTCTTCCAGTTTCTGGGTGTGTGACCATGGCTCTTGAATTTTTAATTTGCTCACTTACACATGGGAATATCATACCCATTCCACAATGCATTTGAGAAGATTAAGTGAAATGTGGTCAATGTACCTAGTACAATTTGTAGCACATAGTAAACTTTAGTAAATTAAATACCTACTCTTTTGGTAACTTTTTTGAAACTTTTGAATGTGTTTAGAATGTACACATCCATACTTCAATGTTCCCCATCTCCCCACTTAAATTGTCCTTATTGTCCAGGCTTAGTCCCAGGTGGTATTTGGATCAAATAAGCTGTAGGTTGCCAGGTAATCTATAAAGTGTAAATTGAATCAACTCTTGGAGTTTGGCCTTTCTCTCTCTATACCCAGCATGACAGTTACTGGATAAATCTATTTAAATTAGCAACTTATAAA